CTTCATGCAATTAATGTTGAAATGGAATCGAATCTTGGAAATAAGGGATTGTCTCCCGAATCAGGGACGAGACCCTCAAATCCAGGATTTGATGAAGATTCAAGCAAGAAGGTTGAAAAAATGTCTACTGAATTAGAAGAATCTTCTTCAAAATCTCCAATTCCGGATAGTCATAGTCAGAAACCTCCCAGAACAAAACCGTCATCTCCTTTAAAATCTCATTTGGTTGAAGATTTGGATGAACGAGACCCGAAACTTAATGTTGCTCCTCCAACTAAAAAAACTAAAACTGACGTAGACAGAAAAGTTCCAACTTCATTGGAGGTGACAGAAAAAATGCATTTTGAATCTGTTCCTGATTTACATTTTGGTAATGCGGATGGGAATTTTTGCCCCGAAACATTATCCCCTGATTCTGTTATGCCAAGAGAAATTCCAAAATCGAGAGAAATGGATGCCAACTCTGGTTATAAGGCTTCATTAGAGGTTGTGGAAAATGCAGAAAGCACTGAGATGACCAATATTACTGATGATTCGAAAATTGATGACCAAGTAATACAGAAAAGTTTTGAAAGCGATATGACCGATAGTGTGCCACCTGATCTTGTAAAAACAATTCAAAAAGATGGAAATGGTACTTCTGAAGAAGCTGGGTCAGATTCACTTAATCACGAAGTTCCTACTGCGAATAACGTCATTGAGATGATGCAAGATACCCATGGAGCAAATAATGATGACCGAAATGCTCAGGAAAGTTTTGAAGATAATGCTGACGCCACTACATTTACAGAAGCTGATGGAAGTGAAAAAGCACTGTTAGATAATGAATTGGAATCGCAAGTAGCTATGTTAGTCGACCCTGATCAATCAAAAGGGTCCAATTGGAAGGAAAATCCCCGCATTCAGGGACAGGCTGACCAAATCAACCTAACAAGCAACGTAGGGGCCCCTGACTGTGTTGTGAAAGTCCTGATTGAGGAAAAAAACAGCACAGAAGGCACCCAATTTCCTCAAACAGGAGACAAAATAGCAGGAGGTATAGTTAATGATCTCAGTAACACAGTTTTGAGTCAAAATTCTAAAATCAAAACGGTAAGTGGGGTTGAAATATGTGATGCCAAATCAGCTACAAAAATTGGTTTAAGTGTCCCATTAGGGGTGAAAGAATATCTCATTGAGGCCAGTGATGCTGACACAGATAAAACTAACGAAAGTGATGAACAGAAACCTGCGGAGGATATGGAAAATAAAGTGGCATACGAAATATCGAACGAAGACACAAATGAAGGCAATCAAGGTTGGGAAAACATCATTGGGGGGTCAGAAATGGTAAAAGAAATGCAAAAAAGTGAAATTGAGACCTCGGAGATTTATGCTGCTGAGGCGCTGATAGAAATTGGCAAAAAAGTTGACGGGGCAATATTTGAACATTCTGCAGAAGGCAATGTATCTATTAATGATGAGATTGTTGCTGTCGACGATGAAATAAAGAACAAACAAGGGAGTGATTTAGTAGGGGAATCCCCCACTGGGCACGATGAAATGGATTTGAACATAAACAAAGAAGAACCAGTATCTGTTGAATATTTCGGCACCAAAGGGGTTTCGAAATTGGTTTATTATTCAGATGAGGAGGAAATGGTATCTTCTGAAAAAGGAGATATTTTGGAAATTAAAAACCATGATAACATGACTAATGTTGGTTGTGAAATCTCTCCTGGCGTAGATGATGAGCACAATAAATTGGACAACCATGAGCAAGCGGAACAAATCATTACCACCAATGGCAGTGGAGAGCATGAAAACCTCTTTCAAAGAGAGCAAAAATTGCCGTTAAGAGATAATAACCAAGAGCAGCTTGTATCTAATAACTTTGAATATGTCGACCATAAAGGATCGCCACTCGAAGTCTCCAAAGAGCAAATTGAGCAAAACTTGGCGTTAGGCGATAGTAACCAACAACAGATCGAATCCAACAACTTCGATAATGTCGACCCCAAACAAGCACAACTCGATGGCTCTCAAGAGCAAGATAAGTTCATTTCAGAAAACGACGAAAATATTGACCCGAATATTCAACCAAAAATTAACACAAAAACGAAGCAAGTCTGTGTGCAATGGACCGGAAAAGCTAACGAAGTACTTATCACCGGATCATGGTTAGATTGGAAAGATAAAGTCGCTCTACGAAAAACGGATGAATATCTCTGGTCTGTGAATTTGGATTTAGACAAAAATTTGAAGGACATAGAAATGAAATTTGTGGTTGACGGAGAATGGTTAGTATCACCAGACATACCCACTGTGAAAGATATGAGCGGCAATAGAAATAACTACATAAAACTTATGCAATATTAAGGTAGGAGGATTTGGTTCAATATAAGGAGACACAGAGTGACAATCGAAAAACAAACTACATTGTTATATCATAAAACTTTTCTTTGGCGTAATTTAATGTTAACGAAGTGAGTTTTTCCTTGCGATGAGTCAGCATTTGTATTACGGAAACTAAATGCATCCTGAGTTTAAACATTGTCAGGTTGCCACTCTGCGTTATTGAATAGTAATGTCTATATCGGAATAACTGTTATTCAATGGTTTGTTTATGTTTTTGTTATTATTAGGTCATACACTGTCTTATGGTTTGTTTATTATATCATAAACCACCATTGTTCACCAATTGTTGAGTGATAAGAGATCCTTTTGTTCCATTATTACGATATGTCCCACTGTGAAGATAGATGGACAATGCATTGATAAACCCAGATCAAATGTTATACTCTTCAGTAGATATTTAGTTATTAGCGTTTTGTTCTGTGGTTGCGCTCGGCATCGGTATTAGAAATATGAAAATGCACTCTCTCATCTTAAAATAGCGCTGACTTCCTAAAATATATTGCCTAAAAGTGTTAAAATATTTTGAAGTGTTTTCATGTCATCTTTCCAAATAAAGCTGTAACCTGGCAGCCCAGTCTGCCCTCAAAAAAAATAAGAAACTATAAATTTGACTTTCCTAAGTTTTAAAAAACTGTCCTTGGCATTAACTAGCAACCCCAGCTGTAAGTATAGACCAAGAGAGGAAACTATCTTATTCAAAAATTATAGTATACATGAAATCTCTTTTGAAAAATCTGAACAGGGAGTTTGATTGTCAAAAATTATGGAAAATATTTTTACCGGATATCATCCAAATTTGAATTTATATGAAGTCAAAACTCCCAAACATGCATGACGTATTTGTTTTTATTACCAGTGAACAAATTATTTCAAATATTTGTCTCATGCCCTAGGGCTGGGAAACAAACAACACTGAAATGACTGCGTCCGAAATGCTCAATGTATTAGCGTCAGAGATTGGCTCAAAAAGCAGGGACTTTCAAAATGAATCGGACAAATTAAAAATAGTTATTTTTATATTTAGGCATAATTCGAAAGTGCAGTTGAAATAGTAGTCTCACAATAAGATAGAATTTACATATTCATTTCGGGGGAGAGGAAAGCCGTAAGGATAGCTTAAAGCATATGGAGAACCACGGCCTCTCGTCCGTTTACCAGTCCATGTCGGGTATGAGATTAGATAGCCAGTTATTGTTTTCGGAAGCATGCGCAATAACAATACAAATGACTTCATGTAATTTTAAAAAAGTGTATGAAATAGAGGAAATTGTTGGCAGCAGAAATAATAGTTTCAATTGTATGGATTTTGATATAGTTTTTTTGCCTTTAGGCTAAATTTTGCAGACTAATACACATTCCAACAGCCATTGCGTCATTATTTGCGAACCATTATTTCAGAAAATGCGTTCACCTCTGTGTATCAATATTTAATGTTGTTTACTTTTTCAGTCCAATATTCAGAAGATTTCTCATAAAAGTTTGTATCGATGTGAAATATATTTAGGCTTAAGGATAGCTACAATCGGAGATAAACAAATAGAACATCTGAATAAATGAAGAAAATTCAAGTCTATACATCTGGAACAATTAACTGGCTAACTAATCCCATACCGGACATGGACTGGTAACCGTAAGAGAGGCCGTGGTTCGCCATATGATTAAGCCATCTTATCAACTTTCCGCTCCCAGGAATAAATATGTACCGTATATACTCGACTATAGGTCGTAACTTTTCACCAATGCGCGACCGTTCAGCTTTGCACAAGTCAACAATGTTCAAACGATACAAACTGTCATCCAAGACGCGCACGCACACGCGCACACAAAATTGAACGACTATTTCTCTCGTTTTCTCGTCGCGACGATCCCAATATGAGAGAGATCGCTGTCGTTAGTAAGTTCTTTATTGTCGGCGCCGATGTCATTTTGGGTGATTTTATGTATATTTGGCAAGCTCTATGACGTGATTGTGATGTCGTAAAAAACAAAATAGGAAGGTATCTATGCAAAAATGCTAGAGAAAGGGCCTTTCAATCCCTAAATTTTCAGTGCGACTTATGTGCGAGTCAACTCTAAATTAAACTTTTTTAAACACAAAACTAATAGTGCGACCTATACGGTGGCGCGACCTATAGGCGAGTATATCCGGTACCGTAAATCTTTCTCTATTGTATGCAGTAGGTTCAATTTTAGCCCGCTTAGCCTTGTAAAGAATTTAAGATGTTAATGTAACATAATTCAAACTGTTTACTTCTGCTAGGCCAGCTTCCTAAGTGTCTTGTCAAATCCACTATTATGATCTAACAATATCCCCCCCCCATGATGAAAAATGTTCATTATTTATATATGCTGTGAATATGTAGCCATTTAACTGTGAACCATTAATATATTCTTCATTTCTATCTGTAAACTATATTAGTATGTCAAATGCTAAAAAAAATTGCTGTGCTAAATTTTGTAATTTTTGTTTCATTTTTTGATAAAAAGCTCGATATTTATATACTGGATGTCCATAAAGTCCATTTACAATTTCAATTTTATTATGAAGTCAGTTTTCAATATATCCTAACCAGGTTTTGTTGTTTTTTTAATTACGGTAGTAATTGTTAAGGTATTTTCACTTCATTTAATACATCTGTGAAGGACAAAACAATATATGGTATAGATAAATGCTCTTTGCAATTTTAGAAAATTTCAAGACCATATGGACACCCTATATATATGCTGTGAATATGTAGTTTGCTATTCAACTGTGATTCAATAATATAGTTTTCATTAATATCTGTAAACTGTATATTTATATAGCGAATGCTTAAAAAAATACTGAGCTGAATTTTGCAATTCTGGTGCCATTATGGCTTTATCCAGTTATTGTGACATAAATTAAGATGAGTCAATACTTTGCGGGATAAAATTAAAGTTTTTGCTATGCCATTTGACTTTAGAAAAGTACGCTGAGGAAAATTCTGTGCAAATTTTCGCAATTTTGATTCTACTGTTGCTTAATCGAGTCATTGGAATATCACTTAAAATAGTCAATACTTGTGGAAATAACTTGCAGTTTTTTTGCTATGCTAGCTGTGGGAAAGTATTCTGTAGTAAATTCTGTGCAAAATATTGCAATTATGATAAGGTATTCAATTCTGAGGTTATTTGATTTTGTTTGTTGATTTTTGGTTTCCAATGCAATTTTTTTCTATACCATGCATGGGTGGCATATCACTCATCTAATACTATTTATGATAGCGCAGCAGGCCACACCCTTGACACACGAAACCATAAACGATCATCTAAATTGCTACATGATATGTCAGGGTTCTGAGCATTTATTTTTTATTTCCCTCTTGACGTAAATGATTTCTGGTTGTTAACTTATTCTATGCTGCTTTAAATTTTTATAAATTTCTCCATTACAATGTAGCAGCTTCCCTGGCAATCTTTTCTTGAAATGCTCAAGTTTCTGGTGTAAAATAAAGTTTCATAATCAACTTCACTTGCAGACTTGTCAAATTAATTGTTATTTGTATTGTGTGAATATTCTGCCAAATTTATACTTTACTCACATTCTTGAAAGTTCACTGCCAGTATAATCTTCATCTGTTTTGTGCGTGAATATTCTGCCAAATTTCTGCTTTATTGACGATCTTGAGAGTTCCCTGCCAGAATTATCTTCATTTATTTCGTGTGTAAATATTCTGCCAAGGCTATACTTTTTTCATATTCTTGAAAGTTTCTTGTCGTAATAATTTTCATTCATTTTGTGTGTAAATATTCTGCCAAATTCATGCTTTATTTAAATCCACGTAAGTTCACTGTCAGAATAATTTTCATTTATTCCCAGTGTAGATATTCTGCCAACTCTGTGCTTCGATCACATTCTTGAAGGTTCCTTGCCAGAATAATTTTCATTTATTTTGTGTATAAATATTCTGCCAAATATATGATTTTCCCGATTTCTTGAGTTTCACTGCCAGAATAATTTTCATTTGTTTTGAGTGTAGATATTCTGCCAACTCTATGCTTGGTTCACATTTTTGAAGGTTCTTTGCCAGAATAATCTCCATTTACTGTGTGTGTAAATATGCTGTCAAATTATGTCTTTGTTTATGTTCTTGCAGGTTCTAATTATATTGTTAACTTCATGTATGGCTTCAATTAAACTAGAACTAGCAGATTGTCTGGCTGATAGCCCACAGACTCGGGCCCTTATTGGAGTATTTCAAGAAGATGCAGAGGCTCTAACAAATTATGCACGCGGACTTGAGTATGCGTTCCAGCGTATCGCGTATGCTCAGAACGAGTTAACAGCAGCGACGCAAGCATTAGCGCAACATTTAAGAGAATTCGATTCACAAAAATTCACTCTTACCACGGATAATGATTATATTAGTTCAACAATGCAACAGCTTGCGTCGAAAATCGATCAAGTCTCAACCTTCAACGCCGTGCTCCAAACACAGCTAGTGGAGAATGCGACGTACCATAGTGGTCGATTTGTCGAGAAATATTTAATGCAATATCAAAAGTTGAAAGCGCAATTTGAGTCACAAGATAAAATCCACCAGGAGGCGATGAAGAGGTAAGATTTTTGTTTTAGAATTTAAATAATTTAATATTCAGTACTCCCGATGTATGTGAACCAAGATATGTCGGATGTGGGAACGTAGTATATGTACCAGGTTAGGGTTAGTCATAATTTTATTCCAATTTTCCTCATTTTAGTTCTATTACGAGTTCAGTGATTATCCTAGTGACCCCAGCTGTATTTATATCTGAAATTATGGCCTAACCCTAATGTGGTACACTTACATTCCGGTGTCCGTCATCTTGGTACACATACTTCGGGAGTACCCAATATTTACTATTTATTCTAATATACAGTATTCTGAAAAGAGAGAATTATGATCAAACACAAGGGCATAGCCACTTGGAGCGGACTCATTTTGAAATGTATAAAAAAGCGTTTTTATATATCAAACATGATAATTTTCTGTAGTCTTTTTAGACCCTCGTTTTTCGTTGTATAAATTTAACACGAGATATAAATTTTTTGCCATTTGGCAAGAATTGGTATGGTTTTTGTTTACATATCAAACGATCATACATTAGGTTAAGTTCATTTCAACAAAGTAAATTGAATGTCCATCAACAAGTTTATTGCGTGGTTAAATTTAAAATTTTCAACGAAATTGTGGGGCCTTTGCCATTATACTATATGGGCCTTGCTTAGAAAACGTTGCGACCACAGTCCTTGGGAATCTCAGGACACGGCACCTCATCTTACACTTCTCTTCTATCCACTGATTGAGCAAATTATTGTAAGATACATATATAAATGATAAAATGTTTTCCATCTAAGCAAAATTGTTACAGGGCAGCGAAGTTATCCAAGAAACGAATCAGCGAGTCATCGTGGCAGGAATCGACTGATCATTTACACATTGCAAGAAAGGCTTTCCATGAAACTTCAATGAATTATTGTGCAACAATGAATCTGTTACAGGTTAGTTGTTTTGTAACAATAATGAAAATTTACATACACCCTAGGTTGCACTCTGAACAAAGCTTTTTACAACTCTTCACAAGCTCTTCCTGGAAACTAAATTTATCATTTTTATCCTTATCCATGTAGCCAAAAGGGTCGAAACCCCCCTATTTGAAATTGAAAGCATTTTAGCCCCTCAAGACTTAAGAACCCTCATTTTCCAACGGACCCGCTGTTAAGTTCAAACTTGGCAATTAGAAATTTCAGTGCCTCACCCCTTTGAGAATTCCTGGCTATGCCCATGCTCTTATCCCTGGTTGCCATTCTTTTAATTTTTTGTCTTGTGCCTTGTTTAGGGGTTTGGAGTTCTAATGTGTGAACACACCCCCCCCACAAAAAAAAATTAGGAAAAAAAAAATTATTGTTGTTTTTGAGGACCTCAATTTTTTTTATTATGTACATTATTTTCAATTACCAGGCTCGCAAGAAAACTGGACTCCTTACACCACTGGTTGGTTACGTTCAATCACAAGTAGGGTTTTTCAAAATGGGGGCGGAATTCTGTCAACCTGAACTCGAAGAATATTTATCAAAATTAACGGAAAATTTACAAGAAGTTGAAAAAGACACTGTTACTGCTGTAAGTGCTGGTACATTGATTCTCTGGTTCACGTCCCTTCTCGAGTTATTTTTTGTGACTGGATCGCTGCATTCTCCTTTGTGGCGATGTGCTCCATATGTTATGGCTTCCTTGACAATCTATGCATCTGAAACCAATTATCCTTTCCCCGGGATGAAAATAAATCATATCTTACCTACCGGTATCTTATAACCTATTAACTTTTCCTATACCCGATATGGAATGGTAATCTGAAAATTATTGTCTGTATGATTACTTATATGTTGTATACACACATGGGTCAGGAGGCTTGGTTATTACTTATCAATTTTAATCGGTAAGTATGTTGATAGGTATTTCTTGTCTGTCTGTTAGATGCACGCGATATCTCATGAAAGCGAGATTGAATCTGCTACAAATTTTGCATGTGCATTCATCTTATCTCGGACCAGAAGCCTATTGATTTTGGATGAATTATGTAGTATAATTAGCGAGTTATGGGACACAAGGTGTCACGTTGGAGTAAGAGCGCTGTTTTGGGGATTCCCTAACTTTCAATCAATAAGTCTTCGGTCTCTGACCGATATTCTCGTCTAACTGGTGTTGCATACTCACACTCACAAATAATGATCAATTAATTATTGTTAAATCATTATTTTCTGTTGCTTTAAAATATATCACAGTATTGACTTTGTTTGCAATAATAAAGTCTCTCCCTCTAATTGCATCTCTGATCACCTTACAAGAGTTCAAAAATGTCATGCCTGAGAATGTTCGTAAGTTCCAGTTTGGTTGTTATTAATTATGTGCAAAAGTATGAATGTTTTTGCTTAGAATCAAACTAAGAGAATTTGAGTGTTTGTTATTTGAACCAGGTCTGCGGAGACAGAGTTAGGTATTAAAACTCCTTGGCGTTGTAAGTTAAATTCAGAGTCGAATTTCTGAATTTGCCGCAGTCTGACTGAAATGAATGGACATGGGAATAGAATCGATATCTGTAAATCTCTAGGCTCAAGGCCTTGACCATTATAAACGATTTTCTTCTATTTCAGGAACAAGAAAACGTTTTATTAATCGATCGAATAGACGGAGAGAGCACAAGAGCTTATATTCCCGACCCTCCACCTGCAATGGACTTCCCTGAACTACCGGTATCAAATAAACTGACACAGATAAGTGGGTGGGTATGTAGAAAAATCATTTTATTTGTTACAGTGAGTTGAAAGAGTCCCCAAACAAGTAATCCTGTTGACTATAGTGAGGGATGCCCATATTAAATCTAGTCCAAACTAGATTTAAGTAAATGTTTGAGTTGAGTTATTACTTATCGATCTTAAGATCGGTAAGTATATTGGTAGGTATTTGTCTGTATGTATGTCTGTCTGTCTGTCGGTGTGTCTGTTAGATGCACGCGATATCTCACGAAAGCGAGATTGAATCTGCTCCAGATTTTGCATGTGCATTCATCTTATCTCGGACCAGAAGCCTATTGATTTTGGGCGAATTATGTCGTATAATTAGCGAGTTATCAATCAATTATTGATATAGTGATCTAGATTTTTGTAAAGCGAGAGAATTTTGAAACCCGCCGAGTGTGTGTGTGCGATGCGCAGTGCGCAAGTTACAAGAGCGGATGAATCGAAACTGCAGTTTCTGTTTTGGGGGATCCCCTAACTATCGATCGATAAGTCTTCGGTTTCCAACCGATATTCTCGTTCTGTTGCTTTATCAGCTGCTTCATTTCAGTTGCAAGGTGTCGTTAACTAGATTTCGCGACCCCTCGTCAACTGCAACAAGCCGATGACTGTTTTTTGTGATTTGTTACATGCCTTGGACTCCAGTAGTGTATGGTTAGGCTATAATTGTATTCCGATTTTAGTTCTATTGGGAGTTCGAGGACTGTCTGTGTTAGCCAAGTGAATATACCTTCTGTCCGTACTTCATAGGTTTCAGCCCCTTCACACAACTTAATGTAAAGTGGGCGAACAAAATTAGTTACCTCCATATTGGTACACACACTTTTGGAGCGCCCATGCCTTTATATGGCTGCGCCAGGGGTCCCAATGGCTTACTCAAAGAAGCCCCGCACTGGACTATTAGCAGTAAAGTAGTTTAAAACATGATTCGCTACTCAGACCGACTTTGATTCTATGTCTTTCATTCTTTTCAGATATTTATTTGCCAGAAGTCACGGTGTCTTCATGAATCAATGGAATCAGAGATACTATTTCACGCAGGTAACATCACATATCTATTCGAAAAATTGGGCATTTTGGACACGCTGAAAGTTTACCTATAAGTTTTATCATGACCTGATAGGACTAAAAGTTAAATTTCACTGCATCAGCTTTTCTATCTCTCATACGACGGTCATACCAAATAAAATTATAAAATTTTTACTCCAAGGAGGAGACCCAATGCAGGGTGAGGGAGAGCTTTCCTCTCCACCTTAATAATTTTGAAATTCCTGCCATCAGCTTATTCAACGATGGAATCCTTTTTTCAAGTGAACCTAATGCAACAAGGGCGAGATGTGGTGACAGATAGGTTTAAGTATGTAGTTCCCAAAGTTGATTGATTTTCAATTAAACATTCTAATCGACCAAATTAGAAGCAGAAGGATATTTGCAGGCGGGGAGACGGGTGCCTGCAAGGGGTTGATATGTTCGACGGGTCATATTAACTCGCTTCTGGTCTGCGAATGGCAGTCCGGGAACCACTGGTTCAAGTCTTTTAATCAGTTCTCCTTTCCCCCAAACTCATTTTATTCAATGTTAGAATTCTTTACTATGCAGGGAGGAAACCTAATGCAACAAGGGAGAGATGAGGTGGCCGGTGGATTAGTGATGGACCTGGATGGCTGCACCATTGTTCCTATTGAAGCTGATGATAGAAGATATGTGTTCCAGGTGAGGCATGCTAGAGAATTTTTGATGTCAATGAAAGGAAAATTTTGTTGCAAGTTTGCTTGTGTGAGGATTCAAGCTCTTGAATGTTGCATGGAGCGTTAAAACTGTATAATGTGACTCCAATATGTACCTATTCTGTAACCCTCAACATTAATGTACTCCTATTCAGGCGCTTTCTAGGAACATCTATAAAATTCAGTACCACTAATGTGATCCTTTTGGGCACACATTTCCCGTATTTCTTAACATTTCTATCTGGGCTTACTATTTTACTATTTAGTGGTCATGCTATCTTTTACTGGGGCATATATATACCCTATTAGGTGGCCCTCATTCTGAAACTGGGAAGTAGATGTATAGTATTCCTCAAACTTTCTACATGTGCACCTTTGGCCTTGATATGTTCCTTCGATCCTTTATTCAATATTCCGTAATGCAGTGGTTCCCAACCTGTGGTACGCGTACCACTAGTGGTACGCGGGTGCTTTCAAGTGGTACGCGAGCTGATTTGAATTATTGCAACCATTAACCTTTCAGTTGGTTAAATTATACCGGCAACACTTTATCTTCCTTACTGTATGTATTCGCTGAGCGTTTATGGATGTTTTCCCAAGCTTCAGTTTCCTTGTTTATTTCCGTAACTATAACCAATCAGCAATAAGTCAATAATGACGCAACAGGTAACAATTGCAATTTCTGCAACCAGTCGCTCAGACAATTCTGTCGCCCAAACAGATATTCAAGCATGGTTGCAAACATTGCCTCGTTTTTGTAGTTTTGAGTGATATTTGTCAGTTTTCAGTTGTGTTTCAAGAAAATAATTGTGAATAAATTAACTTAATTGTCATTATGTCTTCCGCGGAGCTTTAATTTAGTTGCAGTAATTGAAAATGAATCTCGCAAATAAACTTAGCTATATATATCAGTACCTGCAAACGGCACATGGTTGAATAATTTCAATACAAATGATGGTTTCAGACACGTAAACCAGTTTATATGCGCCAACACATCAAAACACTCTTAGAATAAATAAGTATAAAGTTTGCTATAGAAAAGTATAGAGATAACTTTTTCCGGGATCAATGTTCGGGGAAACGTTCATAGCGCCGACACGCTACCAGTCCTTTACTTTAGAGATCGCTCTCGCCCGCTATTGCCCACCTTAAATGAAGCAATATGGGCATGTTTTTTTTTTTTTTTTTTTTTTTCTTTTTTTTTTTTTTATTAGATTTTCATAAAATAAAATAATATTGAATTAATCAATATTAGAAGATAAATAATACATTCATAAAAAGTAATATTTCACACTGTTTTAAATTGTAATCTAATAGTATGGTATGAGTAAACAGAAGATTGGAGAAATTTCACATTTTATCTATATACTATACAATCAATTACTAAATAAAATTATATTGAAATAAACAATATCAGTAATACAGTCATGAAGAGTATCACAATGTTTGCATTCGCAATCTAATTATGTTATTAGAAAACTGAGAAAATCTGACATTATATGTATATACCATACAGAGGCAATCATTTAGCAAAAAAAAATCTCACATTTTAGGTATATACCATATAAGGGCAATCATATAGCAAATAGAATAATATTGAAATAACAATTTTTAATTCAGCAATACAGTTATAAAAGGTAATTTCTCACAATGTTTGCAATTGTAGTCTAATAATGTTATAAGAAAACAGCAACATATCACATTTTATGTATTTAAGGAAAGAAAAACAATAATATGTAATTAAATAGCAAAAAGTCACTTGATCGACTATTATATAAATAAATGCCACTTTATTTTGTGTATCAGGATTTTACTATTTTTCATTGCTATATATTTCTCGTTGTCACGAATAAATTTATAAAAAACATCAAAAATTGGTTTTCGTTTCTGGATCCGGCATCTATATATAAAGAAGCGGGCAGCCAATAGTACACAATTGATGAATTGTATTTCAGGAATGTCATCAAAGCCCATAAAACATTCTTTGATGGAAAGATCAAAATTCAAGTTATCTGTCTTAAAAACAATCCACTGGTCTATCTCGGACCAAAATTTACTAGTTATCTCACAATAATAAAATAAATGCAAAAGGGTTTCGATATGTAATTTACAAAATTCACACAAGTTTGATTCTACTATCCCAAATCCATATAAAACATTATTCAGCGTTATAGCTTTATAAAACAGCTTCATTTGAAAAGATCTCAGCTTTGTCTCAATAGTTGATGAATATGAATTTATGAAATATTTATTCCACTGTACACTAGAAATATTGAAAGATTCTTGCCAAAAGGACTTGTACATGTTTGGAGAGACAAACTGTTTCATTATTATTATTTTATAGGTATTTTTGCACGAATAATTTTCAGTGGTGGTTGAAAGAAATTCACTAAAATCAAAGTCACAAATTTCAACATATGATTGCACAATGTCATTCCATTCCTCAGGAATACTACCTATGATTTTGTAATAAGTTCTATAATCATCAACATTATATTGCATGCTATATTCATCAAGTAGCTCAAAATAAGTATAGAAAGTATTATGGGAAATTAAATATCTCAATTCAGAAATGCCATGTTCTTTCCATGTGGAAATATAAAAAGGTTTTCTGCTATATTGCATGTTTTTTTCGTTTCGCGTGTTACGCCACAAGGGATGTAGTGCCACATTATAAAATACTCCCATAGCATGTTTCTTGTGTATTTTTCCTCACGCCAAAAAAGGAGCTTGGTCGGTGGTACGCGGCCATAGTAAAAAACCGTAAAGTGGTACGCAGTCAGTAAAAGGTTGAGAACCACTGCCGTAATGTGTCCCTCTGATGGACACTTATTTGGTATCCCTTGGCACTGTAACCCTTTTCTGTAGTTTCTAACCCGTAACTTTGAAGACTTGTAAAGCCACAATCGGTAAACATAGATACCCCCATTATTAAGTATTATTTGGCATGTTTTCTAGGGAATATGTACCCTATTAAAAATCTTTTCACTTGTATTCGTGATGCATTTCCAATTACAGATAACATCACAAGATGGCAAACAGAATGTGATATTACAAGCTGAGAGTAAACACAACTGTGCACAGTGGGTCGCCACTATCAGTAATATTTCTAAAGGATTGTACCTCGCTAACGATCCGAGCAAAGCAGCTGAAGTAAGTGTATTTTTTTAAATTCATAATTTTTTTTCTCAAAAAGGCACTGATATTTCACATTTATATTTTTCTATCTAGCTAATGCAAGCAGCAAGCCAATCTCCTGAGCCTGTTTCTCAACCTGCTGCAACTCCTGCTGCCAATGTTGAGCCTGAAGTCGCTCAAGCGCAACCGAAAAATGAACGGACTTCGTCTCAGTCAAGCGACTTCGAAGCAAAACATGAAGCATTTAAACCAGCAGGTTTGGACTCTAGCTTTGCATTTTTCTACTTATATATATATATTACGGTGCTGACTAATCGAGATTAAAATGTCAATGCTGCTACTTGGAGCAAGGTGGCCGTGTGTATAGATTCTCTAAAAGAAGCCCCAGAGCCGTGCGAGAGAAACCTAGAGGATCCACGTGCAATTTGTTTGCTTATTAAAAAGAATATTTTTTAAATACAAGGCAGCCATTACATCCGAGTCTAAATAAAGTCATTTTAGTTTACTCAGAAACATTAATCGGTGGGTAGCAATGTGTTTTTAATTTTATAAATTTTTGCAAGGCTCCGTAAATATTAGTCAGCCTCTTCACTGGCTTCAGAACGCCAAAAGTTTGAGAAACACTGACTTAGAGAATCCACGCGCTATTTGTTTGCTTATTCAAATACTGAATATTTTTTCAATACAAGGCAGCTGTTACATTCAAGTCTAAATAAAGTCATTTTAGTTTACTCAGAAACATTAATCGGTGGGTAGCAATGTGTTTCTAATTTTATAAATTTATTGCGAGGCCTCGTAAATATTAGTCAACATATTCACTGGCTTCAGAACACTGAAAGTTTGAGAACCAGTTGCCTAGTGAATGAAGCGTTACAACTTACACCCAACTATGATAACATTACAGGTAGGACTGGGCATTATAAATCGAATAGTAAATTATTCGGACCATTTCAGACAAAAAATTCAAATTGCTGCCATCTTGTTTTTTATTTGGCCGCCAAAGGTCAGGATGGATTCCTCAATTTTTTTTATTGAAGCCAAATTTTTTACAATACTTTCTATTGAGTTATTGATAAAACTTGTTTCTTCTCGTATGTGAACGCACAGCAAACTTACTTTCAGTAGTGGATTCCATGTTTTCAGTATTAATTTATATGCCCGGAGGGCAATGTTCCCTCTAATTTTTTGTAGTATGTGTGCGCACTTTTTTGGAAATGACTAATATTTGTGCAAAAACCAATGAAGAAATTTTGGCGTTCTAACCGGGTAATGGGTGGGCCAACAACAAACTTTCTCAACCTGCCAACCGAGAACATTGTTACATTACATCGTAATACGTCTGTGCGCAGTAAATCTATGCGTGTGCGCAGCCTCTGAAAGCTGTGAGGGAACACTGCTGGAGGGACACATCAGAATAAAAAATTTACATACAATTAAATATCTTCAATATATTCGAGATTCGAATTGATTTAAAAAAATATTTGATTCAATTCTGAAATTATCAGGTATTTGAAAATTCCCAGCCGTAATCACAGGTTAAGGTTTCTGATACAATTTTCTTGCCACCACCTCTACAGGAGTGGTGACTCCTCTACGGCCCATGGGCCGGGGCCACAGCCCATCTAATTGAGCCACATGGGCCGTGGCCCATCAGGGTATGGGTCGCGGCCAATGTTCCCTCTAATTTTTGTAGTATGTGTGCGCAGTAATTTTGGTGTGTGCGCACTTTTTTGGAAATGAATAATATTTGTGCAAAAATCAATGAAGAAATTTTGGCGTTCTAACCGGGTAATAAGTGGGCTTATTAAGAAAATTTTGGTTATTCAAGTTTTTCTATAGATTGTAAATGCTTTATTGAAGGCTATATGTTATCAGTAGATAACAATGAACATACATGGAAAATAATAAATGAAATTGATTGTAACAGATGGTTTTATTTGAATTCAAATAAAGGGTGAAAAAAGAACAAAAGAACATTGTTACATTACATCGAAATACGTCTGTGCGCAGTAAATCTATGCGTGTGCGCAGCCTCTGAAAGCTGTTTGCGCGCGCACACGCGCACACCTTAGAGGGAACACTGGTCGCGGCCCTTTCAGGAAAAATTCATTTATCTTACCAAAATTTTCAATTTTCACAAAATTGTCAATATTCGAACCAAAAAAATATACTCCTGTAGTATGTGTACCAGGTTAGGGTCAGGACAAAAAAAATTTCAGATTTTCCACATTATAGTTCTATCATGAGTTCGGGGACTGTCTGTGTTAGCCATGTGAATAGTCCCTTTGCACAATTTGATGGGCTCCGGCCCATGGGCCGCAGAGGAGTCACCATTTCCACTCCACCACTTCACCCTTATTTGTAGTTAGCACACTATTATCCTTCTTGTCAGGTATGTTTGAAAGATTAAAGAACGCGGCAACATCCTTGATGCAGCCTTTGAGTAAAAACGAACAGACCGGAACAGGCGGCAGCAGACAACCTTCTGGTGATGGTAAAGTATTTTTTTATATTCTGTTATACACACAGTGAAAGATTCCAATCGTAAATTGTTTCAATTGAATAATTTCAAATTAGTAAAAATTGAAACTTGTATTTTTACTGAAATAATACAGACAAGCATCCTATTTTAATAACAGTCATTAAATATTGTCAACCACCAATCAAGGGGGCGCATTCGTAAACTTTGCCATGGGCGTCATTATGCATAAATACACTACTGCATGAATATGTCTTATAATGAAGAATTCTATACATTCAGGTGACCAGATATCACGAGACACCACGGACTCAGATTTAGAAGCTGTAGTAAATTCTGGGTTCCCAGTTCTATTCGATCTGCCGTCACCTGCGTCTCAGACCACACAACAACAAGATGCCGGACAGAAACCAGCTGAAAGCCAGGATAACGCCACTCAAGAAGGGTCCATGTCTCCCATAAGAGAGAATCCTTTTGGAGGTGAGAAAAGGTGTAATTCTGAAATATGTGTTCGTCCACCGAGCCCATTTTTAAGCAAAAAGATCCTCTCTTTAGTTATGCCATTGTTGGGGAGTCCCAATCTCCAGTTGAGAACAGCTGTTTTAGTGGTTTCCTGCAAAGTTGCGCAATGGTGCATCTTCTTAAATTCTTAGAGAATGCGTTTGTGGCCTTGCTCTTTGATCGAATTTTCGGTGCTCTAGAAGTATGCGCACCAAGATGTCGCTCAACCTGAATCCCAACAGGTACACACATTCTACGTTCAGGTTGTGCGCCATCTTGGTGCGCATACTTCTCGTGGTCCGAATTTTTTTATGAAAATAAAAGAAAAAAGTTACATAAGAAAATATCACGCTTCAGAGGATTGCTGGATTCCCTTTTTGTTACAGGGATTTTATGTGAGCACTCTCCATTTATGTTTAAAGAGGCGCTCACATAAGTATAATACATTATGTTCATATACTCTTGTCGCTGCGTTATATCTTGCTCTGTGATAAATTTTAATTCGTTTTGAATATGGAAAAACTATATTTTTTGTGTTGCCCAGCTAGATGTCTGAAGTTGGTTATATCTTATATGACCCACGGACAAAAAATGTTCCACACCCTTGGTTTATGGCTTCCACTGCCACCCAGTCTTCTGATACGTATGCCGCTTCATTTTTAGAAGAATCAGAATAGGCTATATGCAGAAGCTTTTCACTTCACAACTCTCACTAGAGTCCTCCCTAGTCTAAACCATTGAAACCATCTTGGCTATCGGTCTGACCTATAACCTTTTCTAGGTGAGGAAGGAGACGAGGAAGCACCTGCTACAGAATCTGGCAACCCTGTATCCGACTCAAGCTTTCGTGCAATGTATGTTGTGAGATTTATTGGCTGCAAACAGGTATGTAACTTGAATACTATGAAAATCCATACATAACTTCCGGGAAAAGGAATATCCATCTTGCTAAGCATTATAAGCTGATTTAAATCAGAAGGATATGTTTATGTGTAAGAAGAGAAATGTTCTTCTTGCAGGAGTTTCGGAAAAATTCGAAGTTGGGGAAAAACTTAAGCTCCAAGCTCAAAGCCATTCGAAAATCGAAACGAATTTAGGCTCAGACTACGAATTCAAATCTCAAAAAAATTAAATTGTGATACGAAAACTAGGATTCGGTTGGAAACCGAAGACTTATCGATCGAAGGTCAGGGGATCCCCCAAAACTCCATAGTGACACCGTGTGTCCCATCACTATTATACGACATAATCCATCCAAAATCAATAGGCTCCTGATCCGAGCTATGATGAATGCACATGCAAAATCTGCAGCAGATCCAATCTCACTTCCGTGAGATATCGTGTGCATCTAACACACAGACAAACAGACAGACAGACAAACAGACAGATAAACAGACAGACAAACAGACATACAAATACCTATCAACATACTTACCGATCGAGATCGATAAGTAATAACTTAGCATATGCAACTCTTCCTTAAGAAATCTGAGAAATCTTAGTGTACTTTTGACTTTTTGTTGAAAATCCTGTCATGATTGTCACCATGAAACTTTTGCAATTCTGTTTTCCAACTTGGAACAATTTAAAATTGTGACTCCGTGGGATTCGAAAATACGACTCTAACTTAGATTTCAAAAAACACTTGCCCGATTCAAACGTCCTTGTCAATACACAATTAATTAAGAATTATTGGCTTAGAGATGTTTTTTAAAATTATTTTTTCGCAGGTTGAGAGCGAGATTCACAATGGCTACGCAATCATCTCTGATTCAATTCGTTCAATAATGGCAGCCCGAGCTCTTCACAACATTTTTTCAATGAATGAGCTCCACCTAGTGGTTACTGATGGTGCAATACGATTGGTTGATCCAGGTAAAATGAAATGTTTTACTTCTAAAGTCTTGGTGTTGGTATCTTATGCAAATCATCAATTTTATCATAAATCTGAGTACATAGCGTTCCAACTTTCTATAGTTACTTACCTTCAGGCGTAGCCAGGGATTTGCAAGGGGAGGGGAAGTCTGAAATCTTTTATTTGCTAAGTTAGACCGCAACAACTAGGTAAATAGAGAAGTCAATTCGCAAGCCGAATTTCCACATTGGAGAGTTTTTATAAGATACTAAAATGAAACGGAAAACACTATAAACTTTGTTCTAGGAGACTCCCAACAGCTAAAAAAAATGCCTTGTTAATCTCATTATTTTTTTTGCCTACGACATATTATTTACCGGTTGACTTTGAAAATTATACAGTCACTAAAATAAATCTAAACGCAATCAATCTTACTCGCGTAAGTCGCGTACTCAACTAGGTATTTGCAAAAACGCTTAATCATCATCGAATATCTTTCGATGGCTGTATGAATGATACAAGAGATTATCATTAGCCGTAAGTTTATGCTGTCTTGTTGGATTTCGTCTCCAAGAGATGTATATGCAACCTCACCCTACTCTGAGATAGATCATATTAAATTAAATTGCCATGTATGGCAAAAATATTGAATGTCTACAGTGGGTTTACTATAAATCAATGTATGATTAAGATTTTTTTTTTTTATAAGGATGGGATTTACATGCTTTTACCGGGGGATAGGAAAGCTGAAACTTTATAGAATTATGGTTGTGAATCATGCTAGCATATGTCATCTATATAAATCTGGAATCATACCATATATTGGGCTCAGGAACTTACTTAACTCAAATACACACCCTTATTGGTGACACGCTCGATAACCATTACTATTTTATCGTCTGAAATGCATTATTTTTATTTTTCCTCACTGTTTGTACACTCAGTATTTTCGGTTGTGTGAAAAAATAAACTACTAACTGACTTTCAGCAACTCAACTTTGCCGGGAAACCTTTCCTATCAAAGAAATCCTGCAAGCCGCACATCATCGTGAAAATACAAGACTGTTTGGCTTCATTTCTCGTTCAACGTCTGTCAACACCGGCGTTGTGAATACTTGTTACGCGTTCGAAAGTAACTCTGATGGTGCCGATGTCTGCTGTGCAATTGCTACAGCCCAGGTGAGAATTGCGTAATTGTTGCTGTGTATTGCGCAATAGTCATGTATTGCGCAATTGTTAATGTTTATTACACAATTGTTACTGCATATTGCTCAGTTATTGCTCATATTGCGCAATTCATGCTGTAGCGTACTCGCCTACATTTATTTCAGTGGGATTTATCCTAATTGGCCTGTTATGCTTCTCTGATTCTTGGTGTCGACCCTGATCTGTTATGGTTTACAGCAGGTACTTCACATTTATCAAGGATATGGGATTGTGTATTGCACAATTGCTACTGTTTATGACGCATATGGCATTGAAATATTGCGCAATTGTTGCTCAGTATTGTGCAATCAATGTACCTATTGCGCTAGGATTTTTGCTTGTCTGGCGTTGCAAATATTTGTAGGGCTACAGTCCTGGTAAAGACTACGCAATTGTTACTTTTCTGCACAGGTATTGCACAATTGCATATAAAAAGTACAGAATTTTTGCATTTTGGTTGCCTATTTCATAACTGATCAGGCTTATTGCCAAATTTTTTTCCTGTTTTGCTCAATTTTCTGTTTAAATCAAAGTTGATAGTTCCAATATGTTGATCACTCAGTCGTTTCATTTAGTGGAATCATCACAAAACTTTTATATTCAGCCCTAATCATTTCCTAAAACTATTTTAAATGTTATAGGTCATGGTTCAAAGTTTAATCGAACATGATGAGATTGAACGCCAGAAGGAGCTAGAGAGCGATTTAGAAGAGCAAAGTAAATTACTCGCTCAAGCGAATCTCGCCGATGAGAATGAGTCAGCGAATGATGACACGGCGAAATTGGAAGCTGAAGACCTAACAATGCAAGACTCGTAAAAATATTAAATTTCATATACATAATCAAGTTTCACACAAATTATATTTCGAATAAAGTTCATGTTAAAGCTATTTGCCCTGGGCAGGGAATCAGTGAACTGCGACCTGGCAGAATTAGCATTTGCTAAATTTGATTGAATTGCTCTGGCCAGTCATGCTCGAATTGAAATTTCTTCTACAGAGTAAATGAGGCATGATTGAGCAGAGGATTATAATGATTGTGGACTTTTGTGGAGTGGGTTTACCTTCAAACATTTCATAGTATTCCCGGCTGGAGAATCTAACGTACAGAATCGGCATGTCAGATTATACCTGATGACAGAAGAGTTTGATGTTGGGTGAAAGTCCCTAAACCCCAAGCCATGTGGAGTTATCCAGTCCAGGGCTTCCCCAACTTTTGGGCTCGCTACCCCTTCCAATATATCAAGATTTCTGCGACTTCGTTGGCATTGCTTCTCAGAGGCGCACTCCTTACCACTTCATGGTGGCTTCTGCCACGAACGCGTCGTCTCTTGCCATAGTTTTATGGCAGTGGCATCGGTATATTCACAAAGTCATATACGAGAGTTTTCAGTTTATCATGCGAAATTATATCTAGTTAAACCTCAAACCTAACCCTAAAACCATCAAAACTGTATCCATAAGGAAAATGTTCCAACTTATCCAAAAATTGTCACCATCAGGGGCAGTCCTGCCATTACAGCCAACATGCCTTGGTTTGTGGTAGCGAAATTTTACCCGTCATTGGTTTTTAAATTTGCTGCTGTGGTACCCTGCCTCACGCCAATGGTTGTGGCAGCTAAGAAGTCAGCTGCCAGGGTTTGACCATAGCGGCCATGGTTTTGCGGCAGCTCCAGACGCCACAAAAAAACTGCACTCGGTTACTCAGGTCTTACAATCAAAGTTGTTTTGACCAGTCATGCTTCATTGGTTTCTGTTGGCAGAATACTTTGAACCCCATAACAATGCCATTATTCTGCCAAGTCATGCTTGATTAATTTCATATCACGATTGCAATTACCACTTCAATTTGCAATTATCGATGTAATGTAGAAAACAGTATATGTGTTTTGTGCCTTGTGTTGTCTAATTTATCAAACTGCTGAATATGTCTTTTAAAATGGAATTTAAAAGTAAAAGAAGTGGGGCGTGGCCAAGCAGAATCACTCATACTCGTTTGTAGTGAGATTTATTTTGACTAGTTATGCTTCACTGATTTCTTGTGGCATACCAGTCATGATCCTAATAGGGTAAATTATACTCTGTCTTGACTTTATATGTCAGGATTGCATTTTAAAATTATGGCTTCGATAAAACGAATTACGTAGTCACCACTTTTGATGAACAAACTAAGTACTCGAAATCTTTAAAACTCTCTACGTGGTGAATTGAAATAATTATACTCCAGAGAAGTGGTTTCCAATTTAACAACATTCAATTTCATTTATACTTATCGTGTTATTAATGTTGAGTAAATGGAACTGGATGTTGGTGGAAGCAATACCCACTAGTCACAGTGTAACAATGCGTAGCCCTGAGGTTTACACTTAATTATCCTCGCATGCAACTCAAGCACTCTGTATGTGCAACTAATTTCAAAATATTTCCAACCTGAACCTTGAATTTTTTTCTATCCTCATATGTATAGCCGAAATTCTCACTCGTAATCTTTACCTTAAGGATTTGAACTCCCAACTCAAAATAGTCTTTCATGAGAGTAATATTTTTCTAGTAATACTTGATAGGTTTGTGGAAATATTATATATGCGGAAATATTTCAGTGGCCCAGCAGTTAACCATGGCCTACTGGTTGGGAACCGGTGGACAAGATGAAATTTTTCTGCTTGACATGGCATTTGAACTCGCAATTTGAAGCTATTATGCTAATATAAACAGATTGTTTACCCTTCTCTCTTCTGATGATCATGAGTAACTTTTGATAAAAAATGCGCCCTCCCTCACAAGAAATGTTACATCTCTTTGTTCAAACGTGCAAGAAACTTCTGTCAGCTATCATTGGAAAGCTTGTTTTGGCCGCTTTCCATTAATTGTTGATAGAGACACTCAGCGCATTTCTTTCTAATTCTAAGGCGAGGGTAGGAGAAAAATTCGAAAATCTTTTGGGAAAATTAGTTTTAACTATAAGTGCTGTAGTAAACACATGCGAGATTAAAGAAATATTCAACAAATCCCGGAAGAAAGAGTGGAATCCAGCAATCCTCTCGCCTGTACTTTTTGGGCAAAAACCAGTCTCCGACTGGAGTCTCGCCTGTACTTTTTGGGCAAAAACCAGTCTCCGACTGGAGTAGTCGTGGAATGGCAAGAGTTATCAATCCTTGCATGATACAAAGCAAATGAAAAAATGTCTGATCAGAATCCTTAGCAATGATTGTCTGATGTTGTATTACACTTTGATGTTTCATCATTTTTATTCTAATTCTATCATCTATATATATGAAAAAATCGTAAGATGTGAAAATTTTGCTTCATTTTTGTTTTCTCGAAGGGGGTTGGTCAGATATTATAAACTTTCACAGGCATTTGAAGTTATTAAGATTAGATTTGTCAGGATTGATAGAAAGGCTGATGGACAGTTCTAATTTGGTAGCAGTTCCTGATTTGTACGATTATGAACAATGTGTTTTACTTCTGTGTGTTTCCGAACATATGGGTCGTGACTCAAAACTGGGGCTCCTGCAAATTTTCTTGTGTCGCTTCGTTTTTTCAACAAAAATCCTAAAATTACTAATTTTATTTTCTAATGAATTTTATATTCGACGATTAATGTTTCTAAATAGTAATTATATATATATAAGTAAAAACTCACTAATGGCAAGCAAGCACTGCCTTCTCACTTCGGGATAATTCCTGACGAAATAAATCTAATGTGAACATGATTGTTTTATAATAATCATTAAGTTTGAAAAGTACAACATGGTGTTTCGTATTTGATCAGAGGTTGTGAGATTTTATAAAATTTGGGGACTCCCGAAGTATGCGAACCAAGATGGCGGACATCTGAATGTAATATGTGTACTAGGTTAGGGTTAGGCCATAATTTTAGGTATAAATACTACGGGAGGCTCTTGGCTAGTCTTCGAATTGATAATTGGACTAAAATAAGGAAAATTGGAAAAAAATTATCGCCTAACCCTAACCTGTTACCCATGTTACGTTCCGATGTCCGCCATCTTGGTTCGCATACTTCGGGAGCACCAAAATTTGTTTTAAAAAACTTGGGTTGTTAAAAAAAAAGTTTGAAATCACTGTTTTACTTCATTATAGCCTTAAAATTTGGCAGCGGTTAGCCCATGGTTTTCCAACCTATTTCTTCTTGTGGCCTATTTTCAGCCTTAGAAGAAATCTTAGACCCACTAAACTTTTACTGAAACCTCAAATCATGAAAATTTTAATAATAAAACAATACAGTAAAAGTGTTGATGACCAAACTAATTATCAGCTTGTCAAGTCAACTTTCAAACCTTGGTTCAACATAAAGCGTAAATCCTCTCTCGGCCATCATTTTTATTCTAACTATCATCTGTATATGTGAAAAAGGTGTTTTATTTGAGATGTCTATGGTTGATTACAGAAATGTGTATTGCTATAAATTTTAATATCTGTGGCTGAAATTGTGAGGCTGTGGATTTTTATGCTTGTCCAGAGAAGAGATGAATATGTTGGCGTTTTTGGTCAATAAATTTCAAATCAAATACTGGAAAGATGTATATTTTCAACTGCAATTGGTTCTCCATACACAAAAATGGGTCGGGGCCACAGCCCATCTAATTGGGCCACATGGGCCGTGACCCATCAAGCTATGGGCCGCGGCCCCATCAGGAAAAAATTCAATTATCTTACCAAAATTTTCAATTTTTACAATATTGTCAATATTTAAACCAAAAAAAATATTATACTCCTGTAGTATGTGTACCAGGTCAGGGTTAGGACAAAATTTTGTTCAGATTTTTCACATTATAGTTCTATTACGAGTTCAGGTATCGTCTGTGTTAGTCATGTGAATAGTCCCTTTACACAACTCGATAGGTCGCGGCCCATTGCCTGATGGCCTCGGCCCATGGGTCGTAGAGGAGTCACCACTTCCACTCTATTAATTGATTCGAAATGCTCAGCCCCATCGACAGTTGAATGTATTCGGACCACATTCGCCATCCACGACAAAGCCCCATCAAGAACCACCTAACCCATTTTTCCTCCTTAAACAAACGAGAATATCGGTCGGAGACTTATCGATCGAAACTGCAGTTTCGATTCATGACCCTATAGTGACACCGCCTGTACCATCGCTAATTAATTAATAACTCTCTAATTATACGGCATAATTCATCCAAAATCAATAGGCTTCTGGTCAGAGATATGATGAATGCTCATGCAATGGAGCAGATTCAACCTCGCCTTCGTGAGATATCGCGTTCATCTAACAGACAAATACCTATCAACATACTTACCGATCTTAAGATCGATAAGTAATAAATGAGCACACAAAAAATAAATTTTTACCATCTTTTATTTCAGCCATAAAAATAGTAAAAACAGCAAATATCACCCCGAAAAATTAAAGAGCATTTCCATCAATTACATCTACTTCCTATATATATATATACACACAAGAGTCTTTAAAACAGTGGTTCTCAAATGATGGGGCACCCACAAGTGTGCGGGGGGGGGTAGTTTGGGGCTGTAGACAATTTTTTGAGGAGGCGTGAAGCTGATGAAAAATTAAAATATTTGTTAGATTTTATCTTGTTCGACTTATTTTGGATATTTACTTTTCTTTATTGTTTAAAGATTGTGATAACATCCACATGTTTTTTAAGTTTTTTTTTAATAAAATATACTTTCGCCTTACTATCTGTTATTTGTAGTTTATTGTTACCTAGTTATTTTTAAGGTGGGGCGCGGGACTTGACAAATTTGAAAAAGGGGGCGCGGCTTAAAAAGTTAGAGAACCACTGGTTTAACACAAGATTTTCACATTAAATACCTACGTTTGCATAACTGGTACTTTTAGTGATAAATGTAATTCGGGACAAACTATGGTTGCCAGGTTTTTTAACACTCATTCAAGGGAAAAAACACTTTAACAGTGATTCTCCTCAAAGTTGCCTTTTGGATGTCTTCCTTTTAAACAAGAACATGCAGGTACTAATATTAAAAATTCGTAATATATTCAGTCACTATATAATATTCGCACTTACATAGGTAGAACCTGGCAACACAGCCCAAGTTGAAATGCTAAAGAGACCAGCGTGTACTCTACTTCAGGGCTACTCAACTGGCGGTCCGAATTCGGACCTTTCGGGTATTCGATTCGGACCGCGACTAATTCTTTATTTTGGATCATTGGCCCCACTTTTGAAATTTTCTTTTATAAAATCACTTTTAAATATATATGAAAAGAACAAAATAGCTAATAATCATTAGTCTGTCGAGGAAGTGTGTGTTTAGGGATGACGAAATATAATTTCTGGAAAGTCCGGACTCAAATATTTTTGAAGTTTTGTATGCGGATCTTCGGTAAAAATAGTTGAGTAGCCCTGCTCTATTCCATCTATGTATATAAACCTATGTATCGTAGTCTCCTTTATATTGCCAGAGTTACCGGGTAGAAAGCAGATCGTTATTGGGTCAGGCAATAAGTTTAATCTGAATAAGCCTGGTGGAAAACTTAATTGAATATGTTGGGAGTGTAAGACTTGTTAACCCCTCAAAGTTGAAAAATATCCGGTGAAAAGGGATGTGGATCAATACCACTGACAGGCAAAACAAAATTGTAGAAAATAAAATTTTCAAACTTGCGTGATTCCAAAGACTTTTGCTAATAAAATAACAGGTTACGTTATATAACAATGTTCACTTAATTTCATCCACAAAAACGACCAATAAATAGGGAGGGGGAATACCGGTAATTGTGGAAAGTAGGGGAGTGGGATCAGCATTAAATTGCGATATAATAATCTTGAACGTGAAAATTTTCTAGAATACAATTGTGTGATAAATTAAAACGTGTATAGGTTTTGAAATAAATAAGAAATTAAAGTTTACAGTAACTACCATACAACAACTTTAATTCCGTCTGTAATAAAGAAAACAAATTTTAGATTATCAAGTCAAATTTTCTTCATTTGTGAATTAAAAGCACAGACATGAAAAATGGATAAATATTCAAACTAAATATGTTTGATATTATAACATTGTATTAATTTATTTTCTAAGTATTTTTGAAACCCATGAGGAAATTGAATTTAACAGTGCTTCCGCTACAGTCAAGTTTACCCCCCTGAATTGGGTTAAATATGGAAGTCAAGTTTTTTCCATTGATCAAAAAATATCTTGTTTAAAATTAGTGTATCGGGGCCGAATATGCTGAGTATATTTTGATGAGCTTTTGATGGCGTGCCTAACTTTGCACAAGAAGTTACTTATAGACATACTTGAAAGACCAGAATAATTAATAAACTTAAAATTGAATATTAATTCCCTCACAGCATAGAGCCAGGGTTTTCAAGTCCCCAGTATTCTTTGAAACCGCAGGAAATTTAACAAATTAAATTAGGAATATTCTGGGAAATACTCAACACAAACATAAACAAACACCATGTTATACTATATACAACAGTATTCTGCTTCATCTAAAGCAGGGGTTCCCAAACTTTATCGGCCGAGGGCCAAAATTACAATCGGAAGGATGTTCGCGGGCCAGAAGAGTGTAGCACCCGAAAGTGCACGACGGTTTAGCTGGGGTCACTTTCATTTGACATTTTTAGAAATATGTTTGTTTGACTCATCTCTTCAATGCAGAAATACGAACGTTGATATTTATCCAAAGAACGTGTTTTCAGCGTCTAGTTTCCGTTTGCTTTTTGACACCTCTAAGCTTTCATATGTGACTAATAACTAAATTTCTGCCCTATGTAATCCTAATACCGGTACGAATGATTGAGATACCGGTATAATTGGATTGTTACGATAAACACGTGCTTAAACAGTGATAATGACATAACAATTAGCGGTATCTAGATCGCAAAAAGGAAGAAACAAAATATGTCGAACACCATTTCACTTAAGCTCGGCGGGCCATTTAAAATCGTTAAACGAACCGGATTTGGCCCACGGGCCGTGGTTTGGGAACCCCCTGATCTAAAGCTTTTAAAATAAGAATAATAAGATATAAAAAAGAGTGGATAAATCTGTAGATTATGAGAAATCGTGGGGAGAATTTTAATAATTATAGCACAGCCGTCCGTATATGCTCGTTTTACCGCCCGATCTTGATTGAGGCCCCGTTTGAATAGCCGCCCGTGTGAACAGAACATAAAAATAAATAAGGGCCGGTGCTTGAATACCCGCCCGATGTGAAAGCTGATTTTTCAGTGGTAGAGAACAATAGGAAATAAGCGCTTTTGTCACAACGTTGTTGAATTTTAGGCGCTGATAGATAACACGTAGGCGTCTAATTACATAACAGATAGCATTGATTACGTAACACCGTGGATCTCAATATGAGGGAATTACTCTTAAGACGTGAATAATTTGCGTTTGACGTGAATAAATTGACATGAAAAAGGATTAATGTCGTCAAATATTTGTCTTCAAAGATAACGTAATTTTTGTGTATAATCCTACTTTAAAAATAACAAGCGGGCCGGTTTAAATAAGGGCCCGGTTAGTGAGTTCGGTTAAAAAAATGTGGGGCCCGGGCTACAAAACGAGCAAATACGGTGAGTGTAATTTGGATAATGATTGAAATCATATATCCCTAACCATACTTCCATGGCAACTGTGACCATATTTCTATGGTAATAGGAGCCATATTTCCATGACCATGGGGATCATATTTTCATGGCAACACGTATAGAACTTAAAAACATTTTTAAGCCGATAAGCGAAAATATTCAGATGAATCTTGATTTGCTACCTAATAAGAAGACTTGGAGAATGGAGTAAATACATGAAAAAGGATTCTTCAAGTTGTTATTTAGGGGAATAGGCTTCAAAAGCCTGATAAAGTCATTTTGAAAAGTCATTACGCAAAAACTAAAATTGAGTATCTACAAGTATCAGATAAAGGTTTTCTTGGCCAATCCAATGACTGAATTTTAGCCATTTTCACAACAGTATCTGTATCGAAGCCATTTTAAGTTAATTTTATAAAAGGTAATGGCTAGGCACGAATCAAATATATACTAGTTATGTTGGTTGGGTCAATGACTAAATTTAATCCACTTTCAAAATGTCTAAACTTAAGCCATTTATCACAAAATAGAAGCCATTCGAAGTCAATTTTATAAAATATTAGTCATGTTAATGACTAGAACAAGTCAATCATAATCTATGTTTATGTTATGTGAAAGACTAAGGGAATCAAAATGCAAAAACAATTTCAGCTGTGGACCGTTTGGCATTAGATGGAAGTCACTTGAAGTCAATTTTATACAAGCACCTAGAAGAAAGTCAATCATTAGCTTATATTGGCTAATGACTGAATTTAAACCATTTTCACAATGGTGGCTACATTTGTGCTTTCTGTGGCTAGATATAAGCCATTTTGCACCAAATGGAGGTCATTAAAAGTCAATTTTAACAAGTCAACTGATAGAAAGTCAATCATATTATGCTCGTAGTTAGGTTGGCCAAGTTATTGACTGAACTTAAGCCATTTGTGTCATCAGTGGCTAAATTTAAGCCATTTCCACAACAGCATGTAGACAGGAGTCAATTTGTAATAAGTTACCAGCTATATTAGAAGTCAATAAAAAGCTAATGAGTATACTTGAGTCATATATATCAGTCAGTATTTATAGCCAAAAGTCACTGGCTTGACTTAAGTCACTTTTGCCAGCAATCTTGCTTCTTTTAATCGATTTTGACTTGGCCGTATATTTTCCTAATGAACATAAAAGAAGCATAGAATCCAATTGTGCCGGTGAGAATCCAAAATGTGAGAACGATAATGAATGTGTAGCCGAAGTAGAGAAGTGTTGGGATGAATGCAGTGATTTCAAGCTGTAAAAGAAGAGATGGTTTCATCCAGTGTTTTCAAACGGTGGGGTGCGCCCACAAGGGGGCATAATAAACAAGTTTTTGACGGGACGTGAAGCTAATTCAAAATAAAAATATTTGTGAGATTTTGATTTTTCCCGCCTTATTTTGGATACTTACATTTCTTTATCTCAGATATTAACGATCATCAATGTGTTTTTTTAATAAAACATACTTTCACCCTACCATCCGTTATTTGTAGCTTATTGTTAGCTAGTTATATTTGAGATGGGGCGCCAAACTTGACAAATTCTAAAAAAGGGGACAGCTCAAAAAGTGAGAATCACTGATTTAAATAAACGAAATCAACTCCAAAATCATCATTTATCTGTGAAAAACAAGAGTTTATGATTCAAGCATGGATTTCCATGTGTTCTGTGAAATTTGAAACTTTTATTGTAAAATTACAATTTTTATTAAATTAAAAAACATATGTAGATAAAAGGCACTGTGATTTTCTGTAAAATTTGCAAGTTTCATTGTGCAAAAAATCATGAGTTATGCCAAAATTTTAGAGAGTAATATTCGGGCTGGTAACACGTTTTTATTCAGCAAAGTTCCGAAGGGAAGAGTTTTGTGCCATGTTCCGCAACTAGGGAAAAATTTTGGCTTTTATTTGCTGTAGCACAATTACTAATATTTTCCAATATTATTTCTGTGATGCTTATTTGTGCAAATATAATAAACAACTGAACTGTACAAAAGCAGGACTTAGAGGTGCAGACTAAGGTGCTCCCATAGTATTCGTACCAAGACCGTGCACAACCTGAACACAGGATGTATACCAGAATGAGGGTTAGTTGTGCGTCATCTTGGTACGAATACTACGAGAGCGCCCAAACTAACACTATAGCTATACATAGATCGAACCAACGAACCCAACCAGGGTAATCAAAGGTGCGATGGCGAGCATATTCCTAACTCCCAGTATAGTTAGCTAACTATCATGCTCAGCCATTTGATAAAACACTAGTTGCCAAAAATTACGATACGATTAGCACCAAAGACTGAAATCCTTGCCACTCACCTGGGTACAGAAATAGAAGATTGAGTAGATGAAAACATAGAAAGCAGATCCTCCAGATACAATGAAGGAACGCCACCACCAATGGTAGTCCTGGAAACGAGAAATTGATAGTTTATGTTAGGGCTGGCAACAGTTTATGTCCCTGGGTTACAGCTAAAATCTGAAGCTCGAGCCCGACCCGAAATTTCGGGTCGGGATATTAACGATCCCGACATTTCGGGTCGGGCCTGAAATATTAATCATTACGCTCAGGCCGGGTCGGCCCTGAAATGTCAATCATTGCGCTCGGGTCGGGCTTCTCTATCGCTGACTTATTTTTTAATAAATATATGTTTATAAAAAATATATACTTAAACTATGTGTGGATACTAAACAAAGGAATACTTGTTATAAAAGAAATAATTTGAAAAAACAGAGAAGAAGCTGTAATGGACTTTTCCCAACCTTTGAATCCCGAAAATATCCTTCCTATACTTTATCATGCCCGGGTCGGGCCTGCAAATCCAATTAATTAGGCGGGCTCAATTCGGGTTCGATAACCACGGGGCCGTGTCGGGTCAGGCTGGAATTTTTGGGCCCGATCTTACCTCTACCCTGGGTCATGTAACCAACTTCACACATCTAACTGGGCCACACAAAAAATCTAGTTTCTCCATGAACAAAATGAATTAGAAAAGTTCCCACAATGCAAAATATTAGTTAGGTTGGACAATTGAAATTTCAATCCTAGCATAGTTAATATCAGCTGTGTTAATGAAGTTTTTTGTGTAATTGCACAGTGAGTTTCTTCCTTGATGAATTGGCGCTGCACAGACAAAATGTTCAGGAACCACTTGATGGGCCATCACGCCAAGAATTTTGATTGGATAAAAATTTCCCTTGTCCCACATCTAGGCTGTAAAGTATCTTACCTCAGAGCACAGTTGAAAGTAGACCATCACAATGGATATCTGACTGCAAGCGATGATCAAAATAACGAAAACCAAGAACAGAAATCCGAACAGATAGTAGAACTGGTTCTCCCATATTGCCTGAAATGCAGAGTTTTAGATGATTTAGCTTAGTGGTGTGCAACAGGCGGCCCCCGGGCCACAACTCGGTTCGCTAAGCCTTTTAGTGTGGCCCTTGTCAAAACTCAGATTTCGCTTTATCTTAAGCATAAAATATTAATCAAACAGTTTTTTTTAAAAAGGAGTTCACATTCGCAAAAATAATGATTTTTAGCTCAGGGGTGTGAGAAGCGGCCCTGGGCCACAACTCAGCCCGCCAAGCCTTCTAGTGTGGCACTTATCAACAACTCAGATTTTTTCCCCATCAAGCATAAACTTCTAATCTGACAGTTTATGTTGAAAAAGGTGCATTTTAGCATAGTGGTGTGCCACAGGCGCAACTCGGTTCGCCAAGCCATTTGGTGTGGCACTTGTCCATACTCAGATTTTCCTCTATCAACCATAAAATACTAATCTTATGTTGAAAAATGAAGATTCAGTTAGTTTTGGTCAAGTAGATTCAATAATTTGGATTAAGTTGTGGGGATAGAACAAAGCACAAGGCCAGTTTCTATTCAAACTCAAGAGTCTGTATTTATATGTATGATATTGTTTGAATATAATAAAATGCCTATTACCGTAAGTGATGTTATTAAGCATGTTTAAACAAAGAGAAATGACTATTTTAATTAGGGTGTCAAAATAGGCTCAGATTGGTGCGAAATATATTTATAATTTATATCAGGGTGGTCCAAACCCAGGCTCGCGGGCCTTATGTGGCCCGACCGCTACATTATCTGTGGCCCGCGTCGCATTGGCGGGAGAGTGAAAAAAACGCATTTGGTGTTGTTTCGTCATAAAAATAATTTTTTTGCAAGTTTTAGCTTGACAAATGACAAATAATGAAAAGCGTTTGTTTTGTATTGCACTGTTTCACTATTCTTGACACTATTGTGGCCCGCGAACAATATGAAAGTAATAGTGTGGCCGGCGAGGCCGACAACCTTGGACCACCCTGATTTATACAATTCATACAGTAGTCAAGTTCATGTAATTAAAATACTGCACAGGGCGTATTTCTAACAATTAGCACGATGCACCACACCGCGATGTCAATAATAAAACCAAGATAATAATGTAATGAGTGTTACGCCGCAACTGCCATAATTGTACATTACAAATATTTAGAAGTCATTTTGAATGAAATATCTAAATACTCACCCTCAGGGCATGAAATTCAAGTATCTCTAATTCACAGATGAGACTTTGTATAAATAATGATTTAATGCCCGCAGGGTGGTAATGATTGTTCGTGAACTTTTCACGTGTTAACTTCAACCTATATAAGAATTTTGAAGGTTGGAACCCCCCCCCCTTTTAAAAAAAAGGACATTTTTTGGGTCTCGTGTAGTTTCGTACCTAACGTACTTCTAGTGGGCGTAGCACAATAATTTTTTGATGTCAATCCTAACCCCCATCTGACTACGCCATCCAAAAATCACGTCATAGAGCTTGCCAAATATACGTACAATCGCCCGAAATGGCATTGGCGCCGACGATAAAGAACTGACTAACATTATCGATCTCTCTCCTATTGGAATCGTTGCGACGAGAAAACGAGAGAAATAACTGTTCGATTTCGGGAGCTCGTTTGCGCGTCTTAGATGGCAGTTCGTATAGTTTGAAGGGCTCTATTACGTCACTGTGACGCCGTGTTGACGTAATTTTTGGATGTCGTAGTCAGGTGGGGGTTAGGATTGATACGTGAAAAAATCTTCATGCTACGCCCACTAGAAGTATGTTAGGTATGAAACTATATGAGACCACATTACTGGCTATGCTCCTGCTTTGGTCCCACGCCGAAAGATTCCATTTTTTTAGTAGCTCCCTACATAACCGCTACTCGTAAAAATAAAGTCCTTACCGTAAATATGAAGAACAATTCAATGAAAACTGCTCCGAATGGTAGAATGCCAGCCATGAGTACACTGTGAAGATAAAAAATAATATAACATGATTTTATCAGTTACTTCACACCCCATGTTTATTAATAATACTACAAACAAATGAAAGTACAAGAAATATTGCATCACAGTCAAAGAATTTACCAAATCACTCAATTTCTTTCAAATAAATACGATAATCGCAAATTGTATCTATTTAAGAGCTTTGCTCGCGGCTCCATGAGAACCTTCCTGTGGCCCTCAAGTGGGATCGAATGCCTAGACCAGGTTTACCGTATATGCCCGTTTTACCGCCCGATCTTGATTAAGGGCCCGTTTGATTAGCCGCCCGTGTGAACAGAACATAAAAATAAATAAGGGCCGATGCTTGAATACCCGCCCGATGTAGTAAAAGCTGATTTTTCAGTGGTAGAGAACAATAGGAAATAAGAAGCGCTTTTGTCACAACGCTGTTGACGCCCAAGTGCGTCGTTTCAATATTGATAGGGCGTTGCAAAACTTTTCTTCTTTTGCAGATTTGTACCTGCGATGCGTAGAAAAAGTCAAATATTTCGTTATCTCGTTTAAATCATACTTGAGAACTGGAAATAACAATAGATTAATTATTGTAACGATCGAAAATAACAAGCGCCCGTGCTTGAATAAGGGCCCGGTTAGTGAGTTGATTGAAAAAAATATGGGCCCGGGCTACAAAACGAGCAAATACGGTACTCAATATTTTTACCGAAGATCCGTATACAAAAATTTCAAAATACTGTGGGCCGTCTGGTCTTTCAAGAAATTATATCTCGACCTCCTAACAACACGCATTTTCTCGGCCGGCTGGTGATTATTCAGCAATAAAGATAGCGCTATTCACATTGTTTATAATCGCATTTGATGAAAGGAAACCTTCACATATCCAGAGTGAGGCCTGGCCTGGACCACAGATTATCAACAAGTGGGCCATGGGCCACTGCTGGGTCACAAAAAAGTTTTGAGGTGGGTCCAGGGGGGTAGTCAGAAATTTTCAAAGGGGGGCCTAAACCACCGATTATCAACAAGTGGGCCATGGGCCACAAAAAAATTTTGAGGTGGGTCCAGGGGGGTAGACAGAAATTTTCAAAGGGGGGCCTAAACCACCGATTATCAACAAGTGGGCCATGGGCCACTGCTGGGCCACAAAATTTTTTTAAGGAGGGTCCAGGTGCGTAGCCAGAAATTTTTAAAGGGGGGTTCTGAAATTTTTATTTGGCAAGTTAGATCGAAACATCTAGGGCGTCTGATCGAACGAACGCTGGAATAAGCTTGTTTTTATTAGTCTTGTGGGTCTAAAAAGTATTCTAAGCTACGAAAAATTGCTATCTATGACATAGAAAAATGATTTATTTTATTACATTTCAAAAGGGAGGGGGGGGGGGAGTTTGACCCGCAAAACCACCATCTGGCTATGCCACTGGGTGGGCCGCATACCTATCAAAAATCGTTGGTTTCATTTGTGTTGCTATAGTTAATTAGTAATTGTAATTGCAATAAATAAGAATGCTAATGAGTTGTAATATTCATTCTAATTATTAGAGTGAAAGTCAATTTTTTCCAAAAGAAATTGAATCAAACAGTGAATATTATTATAACATAACATAATAATAGCGAATCATATTTTCAATACTCGTCTCGTTCAAACACCCTTGTGGCAACACATACAGATCTGAAGTAGGAAGTAAGGAGAAAGGACAAAAAGAAAGGACTTGTACAGGGTGTTAAAAAAGTAGCACAAAATTAACAGAAGTTAAGATGAAATGCTACTTGAAACATTTAACGACTGACACCTTTTAACAGTATTGAATTACAGTGAAATGCCATTTAAACATTTCACGACTGACACTTTTTAACAGTATTGAATTACAGTGAAATGCCATTTAAACATTTAACGACTGACACCTTTTAACAGTATTGAATTACAGTGAAATGCCATTTAAACATTTCACGACTGACACTTTTTAACATTTACTTTTATTTTGCGTAACTTTTTCACCACCTGTATTTTGGTGCAAAATACCCCAGAACGCTCTGTTTTGAAAAACCTTGAATAACACTCTACCTGATAAACGGATTCATGTAGACTAATTGTTCTGGAACTTGTCGTGGAATTTGATTGGTTCGTACAGGGTAGTCGTATGGTTGCTTGCGATATCCAAAGTAATATCCAATGAACACTAAAGGGAGTGATACTCCAAACCATAACGCCAAAATCGCAATCATCGTAGAGAATGGAACCTATGGGAAATAAAATGAGGTTATAATAGACATAAAGTTATGATTTTCGTACTTATCAAGGAGAAAGAAGCTGGAAAGACGGTTTAATCGTATGGCGAACCGCGGCCTATCGTCCGGTTACCAGTCCATGTCGGGTATGGGATTAGTTAGTCAGTTATTTGTTTCAGATGTTAGATTCTCACATAAAGGTGGCTGCTAATACAGTAAAGAGCAAAATATGCAAAATAAGTTTCACATATAAAAAACAAGACGAAACTCAGGACTTTTTAAAATATTGCAAAAAATACTCACAGCGCCAGACGAGTGTTTTCCCCAGATGAAAAAGTTGAGTAAGAACGCAATCCCGAACCCAACACCGGGATATATTGTAGCTGTTTGGATCGCAGCTCGCTTCCATAGCTGACCTTTCAAACTTTTGTAAAGACGACCAGAAAAGTAACCACCGAAGACCCTGGAATCATAGGAAAGAAAAAAATTATATATCGGTTATGACATGTGACCTTACTTCTAAAAGGGGCTCTAAGGAGTTGGAGTTCCGAATCTAGAAAAAAAATGGCTTCAGGTATGGGTTGTAAGGATTCTCAAGCCAGGCTCCTGATGAATCAATTTATCTCTATAATAATAGAACCTTCGGTACATGCAAGCCTTTTTTGATAGACTGTTAGAACACCTAATAAACTGAATGATTGATGAGATCATGTCGAAAATTTTGACTTCGATTACCATTATTGAAAGTAAAACGCCAACAAATTCAGAATTTGGACTACTTTTGAAAGTTTTAAAACACCCGAAACTCTGAATCCTTAAATTTGGCCAAAAACAAAACGATCGAATAAAATGTAATTTTTCAACCAATTTTTTACTGCCAACTAACTTGTTGGCTAAGTTGGCGAATGAATATTTAAGCGACCGGACATGGCATTCTAGCTGCGAGATAATGAAAATTCAGTAAAACATACTCACCCTAAGAATACATAAAGCAGGAAAGATGCGGACAGTAATCCCCCTCTGCTTGATGGACTCAGCATACCTAGCATGGCCACACATATCGTGATGATTGCCATCCCAAATAATTGGACTCCTGCACCAATGAGTGAGACTAGAAGCATAATCTGGAAGAGTGAATAAGGAATTGGTATTTATCTATTATTTTGACTCCAAACAAGGTTTAAAGCAAGCAGTTACAGATACATAAGAAACTGCAAATTTACAGTTTTTAGGTTTTAAACCACTCTGAAGAGAGAGAGTCCATAATGTGGAGGAGATAATAAGGAGTCTCAGTCCATATTATTATGAGTTTTTTTCACATTTTTATTTTGAACAAGCGGTTGATAAAACAAAATGAGCTACTGCTTTTGGAAGGATAAGGATGACTTGCAATGCCAATCCGTTCCTTTTTGAAAAAAGTATGTTTTATGTGAAAAAACACATTGAAAATATGTGGATGGAACATAAATATTGAAATAAATGATAACTTTTCAATCCGTTGGCGGACCCTTTCTAGAATTTGTCAAGACTCATGCCCCAACCTAAAAATAACGAAAGCATGTTTAATTTTAAAAACAGGTTGGAAATTATGTGTGTGGAATTGCAATTTCTAAACAATAAAAAAATGTAAATATCCAAAATAAGGCAGGCAAGATCAAATCCAACAAATAATTTCAAAAAATTGCCTTCGCTCCCATTCTGGGGCCCGTCCCCACCGTTTGAGAACCACTGCTCTAGCCAATGAGCTGCCATGAGCATTCAATATAAGTCAACTGAAAGCAATCCCCCAGCCTTTAACATAAGGTAGAAAATGTGCTGTTGACAATAATTTCAAGCATTTGGCGAATCTGTCCACAGTTACATTGCATGTTTAACAGTCACTTACATTTTTCGGAGGGCGAAAAACATCACCATGGACCAATTTCCACCCTGTTTCTTCAATTGCATCATCTAATTCATCATCTTCTCGATTATAATTTGCGATGTCGCGTCGTAGAGTTCGAACAATGATCATTGTAAGAATACCTGTAAAACAAGAACTTTGGGTATGAAATGGTAATATTATTTATAAGCAATTCTAGAATATTGGTTTATTACCGTGTTTCCCCAAAAATAAGATCTAGCTGGAATTTCAAAAATGATTCTGAAAGACCTAATCAATAGCGCGAAATAATTTTTTTTACCTAGTCGATAGCAAGACATCTCTCCTACACATTTTAAATGATTAATCAAAAAGTGTGAAAAAGAAAAAGATTCAATGACCCGGCATAAATGAAAATAAAAGAAATCCCTTAAAAATAAGCCAGTGACTATTAACTTATGTTGTGATCTACATTGCGTCCAATTATTTGTCAACTTGGAATAACTGACCAATGAGAAAACAGCACGTTTTTTTTTCACTTTCAAACTCGGCTTATCTGCGAGGATATGCCGTCAGTTAATCCAATATACACTAACCTGCCAAAAACAGCACAACAACGATAGAATTGATGATTGAGAACCAATGGATCTGAACATCTCCCATCTGAAGATAATTGTCCCATCTTGATGCCCAACGGATGTTGCTTTTCTGCAGAAAAAGATTTTATATAATATAGGATTCTAAGCCAAAGTCATATTTCTAAAAATAAGTCTCACAATTTTGGAGGAATATATATGATCAAAGAAGCGGCACGGTTGCATAACAATGCCAGCCTTGTTTGCAAGACTTGCGAAGCGGTGCTTGCATCGAACTGTTTAGCATTTTAGACGTGAACTGGAGTCGTGGAAAATTATATTATACTGGAAGAGGTAGCGAGCTTAAAAGTTTGGGAGCCCTGTTCCAAATATGGCTGCCTGTGCAGCGTCCCTTCGTTCGGTGTGTAAGGCTTCAGTAGGCATTTGAAAGGTGCAAATAAGTGTCACATGCAAAAACTGGAAACTCTGCTCACCACCCATACGACATCGTAAGAAAACTTGATTGAAGTTGTTTTTTCCGTTATTTCTTGTCGTTTCATTACCCCTTTAGGGGTAACGGAACAATTCTTTCCTTCCTCAAGCAGAGATGAATCAACGCTCTGGGGCATAACCTCGAACCCGACGACTCGATACGTGTCTAAATCGTCCTCATTTGCATTGTACCTGGGTTGAAAGGTAACTTTGTTGTTATTTTATTGATATTTGGACGTGATATTAAACAGGTTTTTACCAGAGTCAGGCCAGTAGTTTTCGAACATTCATCATCCTTGTCAACTTCCAAAAACTCCTTACTTAACAGTGGCTGCTGAAAGTCCCGGGGAGACTCTAGTCCAGCTGTGCCCAACCGCTAGCCCATGGCACCCCAGGGGGAACAGTTGGAGGGCCACAATGAAAAGCTCAAAATTAATTATAATGGGATTTTGTTTATATACTTTTCCTTTAGAAGATAATTTCACGTTCTCCATAGTTTCACACTATAAATACCACTGGAATGAAAAACAGGGGGCCATGAGTTCTGTAATCCTTCGAAATGGGGCCCCGAGGTCGGGAACAGCTCTAGTCATTGACTCATCTTAAGTTGGCCACCGAGTGACCATTGTCATCTAAATGAAATACTCGGGATTCGTACTCAAAAATTCGCCAATGAGGCTCAACTCAGTATTAAAAAGACTCAAACTCTGGCAACCAGTGACACAAGGCTTACGGACTGGACTCCTAACCTATCCTGAACATAACATCTTAAATACTAACTCCGATGGCTGCTTGTCCCCTTGTTTAAAACGATTCATGAACAAAAAACGATTCATGAACAAAAAAGGGAAAAAGTACTTACAACAACAATATAGACAGATGGTTGTTAATGTAGGCCTTTCCAGAATCGAATATTCCAAGTTTATATCCATGTTCAAGTTGTACTTCTGATTGGCTCAAAGCCCATCTTGTAGCAGAGGGAAGATTGTCACACAACCTGCCATGAGAATAGTAGTTGTTTAACAAAAGTTGTTAAAACATAACCAGAAAATTACGAATGGGGATATCGGACATTAATAAGTTGCAATGCGATCATTTATGACAGTAATGATAAAATGGGAGTCCCCAGCCCCAAAGGGGGCCATAGAGCAGTGCAAGAAAACTCACCCTTCCCCCTAGTTATCGATTTTAATCGGTAAGTATGGTGATAGGTATTTGTCTGTCTGCCTGTATGTCTGTTAGATGCACACGATATCTCACGAAAGCAAGATTGAATCTGCTCCAGACTTTGCATGTGCATCATCTCATCTCGGACCAGAAGCCTATTGATTTTGGGCGAATTATGTCGTATAATTAGCGAGTTATTAATTAATTATTGATAAGACACACAAGGTGTCACTATGGAGTACGAGCGCTGTTTTGGGGGATCCCCTAACTTTCGATCGATAAGTCTTCGGTCTCTGACCGATATTCTCTTTTCTTATATGATGAGTCTATTTCACAGGGTGTTTTCACTTTGTTGAGCATAAATTGTTTGAAAATAATGGGATTTGAAGCCTACCAACCATAATAACACTATAAATACTTCTGGAGTGACAAACACGAGGCCAGGAGTGCTAAAAAGGAACTAGGGCCACAAACCACAAAAGGTTGGGGACCCTGTTGTAACAATTATATAAGTGATCTCTTACAAAACTATCTCATCTATCGCATTGACTAATTGTGCATTTGTTATAAAACTTTTCGGTAAAGTAATTTAATGTTGATAAAGTTAAATTGTCTCTACGACACGACTCTGTGATTTGTATTACAGAAAAAATCCAGCGAGGTTTATACAATTGAGAACAAATAACTTTCAATGTGTGTGTTGGCTATTCGACATTGCGTCACGTACTGTACCGCTGTTGTTATCCTGCATATCCTAGAAGCGTGAATCTAATTAAGAGCGCTCAGAAGTAAGCACTGCCAACCGCATATTTAGGTACAGGGGACTCAAAAACAGAACCGAGCTCATTTTAGACATACCTTTTGTGCAATGCGTCAATTATCACTGGACCTTTTGGATACAGAAACCTAAGTTCTATCCATGGCCATATGGATGCCAAAAAAAAAGATCTAAAACGTTCACACAAAAGCAAGCTGCAATCGTTTTCGTCATGTTTTTCATAGATTTGAAAAACAATATCACCAGAGGAGAACCAAAGCTTAATTCAGAGATAACTTACAAATGCACAGAATATTCATCTTTAATTCGTTGAATGATAGTTTTCGCCATTTTTCCGTCAAACTTTTCAGAAGTGCACATCACAGTACAGGGTGTAGGTTTCTTCATTACTGCTTTGAACAATGTGTTGACAATTCGATCGCCTCGTAGAACCTCCCCTGGAGATGAAAAATAATTCGATCAAATAAATATTTTGGAGAGTACCCTGCCACACCGAATTTGGATCGCGATTTGACAATTCAGTCGCCTCGTAAAACCCCCCCTGGGTTACAAAAAATCCGATCAAATAAATATTTTGAGAAGTACCCCGCCACACCGAATTTGAATTACAATTTGACAATTCAGTCGCCTCGTAAAACCCCCCTGGAGATGAAAAATAATTTGATCAAATGAATATTTTGTAAAGAACCCTGCCTCACATAATTCGAATTTGCGAACATATGCTGGTAATAACCGATCCAAAGGCAATGCATGCTCCTAAACAATATTGAAGATTTACCATTTATTTAAACATGAGTTTGTACCAAAAAAAAAATCGAACACACAAAAAATTGAACCACAAATCCTTTGTGAATTTGCGAGTTTGCATGCAGAGAGAAAATGTATAATGCTAATTATACATGGTGTCTCAAAAGTAAGTATAAACCTCTAATTTGCTTTTCAGGTATAGAGCGTTAATTTCTTCAGAAAACATAGTATGGATGAGTAGTAAAATATAGATATTGTTTGCATTTTTCAACAACCTACAGAATGACAATGAAATTAAACCAATAAATGAGCAAAATTGCTGTTGGGCAAGAAGTATATAAATCAGGCAAACTCATCGCCTCTTTAACAGCCTTAACTTACTTTTAAGACACCCTGTATTATCAATCGCATGCAATCACTTTTTTAGACCTATTATATTTATGTTTCTCTAAGGAAGTGTAAACTAGACCAAACGAAGCATGACACAAATATTCATCTGTGACCGCGAAAAACAGTCAACCAACACCAAAAACCTTGCAAAAATCGTTATTTTAAATCCTCTCTTAGAGGAATTTGTGAAATTTTCCTCAGAGACTTGGTGATAATACTCACCCAAATTCTCAGTCTTGTGCTCTATGGAAGAAGGTTTACAGAATGGTAAAGTGTAATATTCATATGGAAGTTGTGTCTTAGAGCTTGTCATCTTCACTGCCTGAATTAAAAAATAAATTTAGAATCAATCAAGCGGAACAGGTCAGAATAATCATAATTTTCATAATAATATAATTTTTGCTGCCTGAATTAAAAGTAAATTTAGGATAATTTAGGCGGAACCGGTCAGATTTATTCAATTTTACCAGAATATATGTTTTGCTGGTTGTATTGTAAGTATAAATTATAAAAAGTAACATGGTACTGTTGTACAGCAGTAGTACTGTACCCTAATAATTAACAATACAGAAATTGAATAATTTTTAAGAAAGAAAAATGGCTGAACAAAGAGTCTGGCTTATTTTATTAATATAAATTACAATGTTTTGCCTAGTCACTTTAAAAATGAGCATAAATATACAAAAAATATCTTCAATATGACCAAGTAAAACTAATGACAACACTACCATATGAAAAACGTTATGAGCGAAAATTTCCTAAATCTTAAAATCAGAAACTCATTTGACGTGTATTATTGAAATAACAGTTGCCAGTTTAAAGTCACTCATTGTCACTGGTGTAGACATTATTATATTATAAAAGTACCATTTATCACTTTTTATTATAAATTTGAATGAAAATAATAGTGCATTCAAAATTAATAAAAGTGTTGCTTGATAAAAGAGTTAGTTAAGTTGATATAAACTTGCCAGAATAATCTTAATTTCATAGAAATACACTTTCTGCTGTCTATATTAAAAGCATAAACTATTACATTTAGAAGCATTTAAGTGTAATTGGATAAAATAATATGAACCTAATTTTGAGAAAACGCATTCACTGAAGGTATAAAATATTTTTTATTAAACTTATTAAAATCAAGTCTTTGACGATGATCAAAAACAAACAATATATTTCTATAATATCAGGATTTACCAGAATTTGAAGCTCACTTTCTTTATAAAAGGTCAAAATTAAATTCTGTATTTCCAGATAGAATATAGAAATCTTGGGGGCTCACCTTTATTTCAACAGTATCTCCTGCTTTAAATTCAGACGGAGCAACTCCAGGAACGTAAAACGAATTAGAAAGATTCAAAACAGCAAAAAAGCAGAGACTAATAAGCAGTTTCATTATGCTGCCTATTGTACCCGCTGGTCAGTTTCACAAGTGATGTTATATCCTTCAGTGGTTAGCTGTATTACTAGATAAGTCGATAACTCATCTATTTGTTAATTTAAACCAAATTTTTATGCTTGTAAATATGAAGGAAGTCATATATTAACATACTTACCGTATTTTCTCGTATATATGCCAGTCGCGCATATGAGCCGACTCCCTAAAAACGGTCTTAAAACAGCGATTTTATAAAAGTTTGCATATAAGCAACGAATATAAGCATATACGGTAGATCGAAAAGTTGAAACTAGGATTGAAGCAAGATGACAAATTCTACAAAACAATTTCATTGATAATATTCATAATATGTAATATCAGTGACTCTTTTTTGTAGTAGCCCCACTGCGAGTTATTTATTATTGGGGTCTAGCAAAGTTTAGTACCACAAGTACTTCTTGTGGGCTTGGCATAACCATGCCTGGGGATGAAATGATGAACTCTCTCTCTTCGTTCAGCCTTTTTTTTTCTTAAATTATTATATTTCTTAGTTATTAATTATTATGGTACCGGTACCGTACCGGTACTATCAATCCCCTAACCCCCACCTGACTATGCCATCCAAAAATTACGTCACCACGAGGTCACCATCACGTCATAGGGATTGCCAAAGTATAATTATGATCGCCCGGAATGACATCTGCACCGCCGATAACGAACTTGCTAAAGCCGGCGATCTCTCTCCTGTAGTGATCGTTGTGGCAAGAAAACGAGAGAAATTGCTTGCTCGATTTCGGGTGATCGTCTGTGCGTTTTGGACGACCATCCGCATACTTCGATGGGCCTTATTACGCCACTGTGACGTCGAAATGACGTAATTTTTCGGTGACGTAGTCAGGTCAGCAGGTGGGGGTTAGGATTGACATATGCAAATATTGTTGAGCCAGGTCAACTAGAAGTACATGTGGTACTGAACTATACTCTCGTTCTCTCGCCACAACGATCCCGATAGGAGAGAGATCGCCGGCGTTAGCGAGATTGGCGGCGCAGATGCCATTTCGGGTGATCGTAATTATACTTCAGCAAGCCCAATGATGATGGTGACGAGGACGTCGTGGTGACGTAATTTTTGGATGGCATAGTCAGGTGGGGGTTAGGGGATTGATAGTACCGGTACGGTACCGGTACCATAATAATTAATAACTAAGAAATATAATAATTTAAGAAAAAAAAAGGCTGAACGAAGAGAGAGAGTTAGACTACTTGTTTTGTCCATCAGAAAACATATACAAAACAAAAACATAATTAATAAAAAGCGAAACAGTAATTTGTAACGTTTTGTCTAACCACTTTGAATGAGCATAAACATACACAATCTACTTTATATATTACGAACTGAAACTAATGACAATACTACCATACAGAAACGCTATGAGCGAATATTTCCTCGCAATTTCCTAAAATCTTAAAATCAGAAACTCGTTTGACGTGTATTGAAATGACAGTTGCCAGTTTATCCCGACACATTGTCGCTGGCGTAGACATCATTATCAAATAAAATTAGAATTCTATCACTTCTTATTGAACATTTGAATCAAAATAACAGTGCCTTCAAAATTAATAAAGTTTTTGTCAGTAAAATTGTGAGTTAATTTAATATACAACGTTATTATTGTAAAATCTGTATTCAATATGGCATCCAAAATTAATACCACTGCGACTTCGTGTCATGTAAAATGCACTGGTGCGTATTCATTCCGTTGCATATTTTTAGAATAAACAATACCCGGGAGGTGTGCATATTTAGATAAAGTTAAAAACGTACAAAATTGTGCCCGTCAACCAAAAATAGTAAATCACGCTGTCAAAAACACACGAAAAATAAAATCGAAAAGTAACATCAAAATCAATTAAGATGTCAAACATTGAACAAAATAAGAACAACGGAGAATAAGCTGCACATTGACAATAAAATAAATACTCTGAAAGAAAAATAGCATCTTTTGTTTTTTAATTTACAGCAAAATATGAAACGGTCGCGTATACAACAAATATTACTTTATATACCAGGGATGGCGAACCACTGACCCGCGGGTCACAAAGTGACCTACCGCGTTTTATTTGTGACCCGCCAACAGAGGCGTAGCCAGCATATTTTGCGCCCGGGGCAAAATATAAAATTGGCGCCCCGGCCCCCACGTTTAATCATGTTTTCTATTGCATTTAATTGTATATGTAAAAAAAAATTATATTTCGTCACGCTAATAACCGAATTGCGTAAGTCATTTTTAGCTGTTTTGAGAAAAACGTAAAAAAACTTCCTAATGATATTGCTATGCCATTGAGAGTCTTTAATTTGCCATAGTTCAACTTTTTGATCGTAGCCGGATTTAAGTTAATTTGTATGACGCAGTCATGTGACGTCATAATGGCACACTGTGATTTAGGCAAAAACGTGTCTATGGCTAGAGGACATACGCAATTTTGCAACTTGTCTATATGTACCAGTCCTGAAAACCAAACAATCCAAAATCCCCAAAATAGCTAATCTTAATCAATTACATTATTTTTTATGTTTAAAAATATATATTTCATCAATATAACACGCTCTGCACATCACCGAAATAAGACTAAAGTTAAATATAAAGAATAAAACAGTAATGTACTCTTATATAAAAGTCAACCATGGTGAATTGGACTCAGACAGTAAATATCACGCCTTCCTATACAGTAGTATAAATTGAAAATTATTAGCGCTAAGCTAGAATCTGAGATGCAAAAACTCGAAAATCCTTCGCCTAGGTTATTTTGCCTTTGTGACGTCACAATAGTCCTGCGTTAACAATGATAATTCATTATGACGGAACAATTGAACAAATTTGCATATCATACAAAATTTCTATTTTTATGGGTTTCGGAATTCTTAAAATAAAATCTGAGTTAACAGACAGGTGCGCAGCATTACATAAATACCTATTTTATGAAAAATTCAAAACCGCCCAAAATGACTTACGCAATTCGGTTATTAGCGTGACGATATGTGAATTCAAATTTATATGTAATTATATATTTTATTATTTATTCAAAAATATATGTATATGTACATTCAAATTTTAATGGAACATTTTATTTAAAGAAGAAGCAAAGCTATACAAAATAGAGCATATGTCCCACTCAGTTACTGTCAAAGATGATCTACATAGTCTAAAATAAATTCATTTTTTCAATTTCACTGTCGTAAACTGGTTAACACGTCATCAAAATCTGTTTTTTTCCAATGTTTCTCTTTCAACACTTAGAAGTGCAAGATCACGGAGACGATCCTGTCCCGTTGATGCACGCGAATACGACAAAATAAGTTTCAATCTGCTGAAAGACAGTTCACAGCTTGCAATTGAAACTGATATTGTTAACAAAATTTGTAGAGAAATTCGCAGATTGAATAAAACGTCGTCTCCAAAAGACACAATAAAACCAAGAAGAGCCAAAGGAGTTTCTGGTTGATCTCCAATTTCGGTGAAAAGTTCGTGGCCATTGATGTCCGTGTGGTAGAGATTTGCAAAACCTGTGCAATCTCGACGAATTGTCGAAAACGGCATTGAGGTCTTTTAGCACAGTATAATATATTTTATGTAACTCTGCCGCAAAGTACGGTACTTTGACAACAAAATACAAAACCACGTATTACTCAAAACATGTATTAACATCATTCAACCAAATTCCGTTTCCATTTGTCTCCAGCACAGAACTAATATCAACTTACATCCGAGTGCGCAGGCAAGAACTTAACGATACAGAACCACGTAATTAACCCGGTGCATTTTGTTACCTAACGTTACCAAATCAAATTTTGCTTTGTTTTCCGGCCAGATTTTTTGGCCATGTAATTACGATGGAAATCTGAACGTGCTATGTGCGTGATGACGTCGGCAGTCGTAAGTGGTCTGACCAAGTGTGCAGTTTGCCATGTACTAAGATTAGATGTCTGCCGCCGGTGCGATCTTGCTTGTGACCGTTTTTTACCTTTGTTGTGAAATTTTTGCCAGCCCCATTTTGGCGCCCCTGTACCTTGGCGCCCGGGGGCATATGTACCCCACTGCCCCCCCTAAGCTACGCCTCTGCCCGCCAAGCGAAGGCACGAATAAAATAAAAAAAATGCTAACATTTCAGTGATAAAAAGTGATAAAACCGGCTTTAAATTAATCTAACAATAACTAAACTATTATAATGTACCGTCAGTTGGACAGTCAGGAAGGGCTGCGATCGCTCATGTTCAAAATGTTGATTTTTTGGGCCGGTATGGTAATTTTCAAAACCATAATCTTGTACGCATGTATGCACCGCTGTGTACCGTTATTCAGCTATTGGGCCTGACATCGTTTGTGACATAACAATGCAATTGATCTGTTCATTTCTCGCAACGCCTGTCTTTTTTAGAAGTGCACATGCAGACTGTTTTAGGGGTTATACGAGAACTAGATGCTACTTTGCATTTTATTAGTTTCTCGTCTACAATGCCGTTGTGAAAACAAAAACTTTCAGACTTGAAATAAAAATCTAGAAATCTGATATAACAATGGGGCAGTGTAAAAGTGGCCTAATGTGGTTGAAAGCTGATCGAAAATTATAACACTATCAAAGCGGAATTACCTCCAAACACTAGAACCGTAAAATAATTTAACGCATCATCCTAAACGTTTTTGGTAATTCACGTGCGTGTTTTCGTACTCTAATATCATAAAACCGAGTGCCATGAAAAGTCCCTGATAGAAATGCTGCATTAGTAAAGCCCAAAACTACACCAACACCAGCTTATAAGATTTGTTTCAGAAGTTTCTCATAGATACAAACGTGAATTAAATATCTGTGACCCAGATCTGTTCCGCGATAAAATTATAATTTTTGACCCATTTATTGAAAAAGGTTCGCCATCCCTGTTATATACATACGTAGGCATTAGCAGCAGGAAATATTCGTTTAGGGCGAAATTTTATTTTGTATATTTCAAATACGATACATGAGATAATTTTATGTTGATTTATGTAGTCGTATTTATAATTTTAAATGGAAAAACAAATTCTGAAAAATACGATTCTGCGAATATTTAACAACTTGCTATTTAAACCGTACTGATTG